TGTGAGTGTGTGTGTGTGTGTGTGTGTGTGTGTGTGTGTGTGTGTGCATGTGTGTGTGTGTGTCTGTAGGTGTGTGAGTGAGTGTGTGTGTGTGTGTGTGTGTGTGTGAGAGTGCGTGCGTGAGTGAGTGAGTGTGTGTCTGAGAGTGAGTGTGTGTTTGTGTGTGTGTGTCTGAGCGTGCGTGTGTGTGTGTGTGTGATTGTTTGTGTGTGAGTGCGTGCGTGCGTGTGTGAGTGTCTGAGAGTGAGTGAGTGTGTGTCTGTGTGTGTGTGTGTGCGTGCGTGCGTGCGTGTGTGTGTCTGAGCGTGCGTATGTGTGTGTGTGCGTGCGTGCGTGTGTGTGTGTGTGTGTGCATGTGTGTGTGTGTGCGTGCGTGCGTCTGTGTGTGTGTGAATGTACTTCCTGTGGTGATCAGCTACGTGTCACAGATGCAGTCAATCAGGGTTGTGTATTGTGATGGAAATGCATGAGAGAGATTTACATGATCAGTTTCAATCTCTCTTGCACTGTTCGCGTCTCATAGAAGCGGCCGTCTGAGAAAATGATTATTTAGATGATTATTTAGCTTGTTCATTCATTGACAATGACATGTAGAAAATTATATGAATGAACACACAAAGTCGGTATTAAATGAAAATTCACTATATTTACTCTTTAATGCATGTTATTAGTCTCATACATGCATATGTTTAATATTTTATTTTTTTTATTTCAATTAAAATATTCAAAATATATAAATATTTTTAAAATATTTAAAAAGTTGATCTGCTTCTATATTCTTTGAACTGTAAGGAAATTATATGAATGAACACATGCATTAAAAAAAAGTTGGCATGAAATAAAAATTCACCATATTAATTTTTTTAATGCATGTTATTAGACTTTGCAAGTATTACTTTTAATTTATTAATTTTTATAATTAAAATAAAATTTGATACATTTAAAAAAAAAATCTAATTAAAATATTCAAAATATTAAAAAATTAAAATATATATATTTTTTATTATCAATCTTCAAGTGAGACGCTTATTTAGATGATCTGCTTCTTCATTCATTGAACTGTAGGAAATTGAAAATGAAAGTTCACTATATTTATGTTAATAGTCTTATTGTGAACAATTTATGCATGCATATACTTCATTTTTTCCTTTTTTAATAGTTAATTAATTTTTAATAATTAAAATAAAAATTGAAAAAAAAATACATGTTTAATCGAGATATTTAAACATTTATAAACTTATTTTTATTGTTGACACATGCCAGACTTCTCCAGTCATTTCATTTGCATAAACCCCGCCTCTTTTACAATCAAGATCAGATCCGTCTCCATTATTGAGCGCCACGCCCACATCTCAACATCCAATCAACAATTGATGCATAAAACCATAGAAAACATCTCCTGCTACTTCAGTTCTGTTGTGAATGTTGATTCAGTGACTATCGTGAGAATACGATACGCTGTATATGAACATGATTGAATTGACTTGAATGTGTTGAATATTAATGTGCCGGTGACTAGTTGAACTTCATAGTAGCTGGTTTGTGTTTTGGTTAGCTTAGTTACTTTAGTATATGAGGTGCTTTTAGCAACATTTCCGAATGTTCACACAATTCAGTGCATGCATGTTGAATGAAGTCGTATCACATCCACCCTGCTAACCAGAGCTGCTGTTTAGAGACACATGTGTGATGGTTTTAGCAGAAGATCACTCCTCTGTGACGTCAGACGGCCGTCTGGTTAACCAGAACAGGAAACTAAGGTTATTTAGATCTCAGCGGCTGATGCAGAAAAATGTGAATGGAAGTGTGTTTTGGCTCTTTGACTTTTCACTGTAAAACCGAACCGTTTAAACGAATGAAATGAAATGAGTTTGTTTCACTCAGATACTACTGAAAGTTCATTGTACTTAACAGAACAGAAAAAAAGTTCAAAATGTGATATTAATAAGCGGAACTTAAACTGACTGAGTTGCAGCAGATTTCTAATTCCCAGCATGCTTTGCGTCAGACTGTGTAAGGAGAATACATGTTGAAATTAAGTGCTATTTTGTGTGTTAGTATAAATAAAGGGGGAGATGTGTTACTGTTTAATGCTAAGTTATTTTGGATGTTTCTTTTATGTTGAAGTTTTGTAGGGTTACCATCATAGTGCTTGCGGTAGGGCTGGGTTCCGATTTTATCGATTGATTAGAATTTAATGTTTTGCCTTGATTTCATTTATTATAAATTAAGGAATCATGATTTTGAATAGAAATAGTACCAAGCTCACAGAATGCGCTTTTTGTGTTGACAAAGATGCGACGCAGGCAGTGGAAAAAATGCAGGAAGATGGGATTTGAGCTTCTTTTAACTTGAGCGCCGTGTTTTTAGAAAGTCGTTTCATTCATGAGACGCTGCAAGAGATGCGAGCGCAACAGTCAAACATGGAAAAACCAGTGGAAAAGCTGCGCAATCCAATGTATGTCTGATATTTCATGTTTGCATCATGGTGACAGACTGAAAGCTGCTGTCCACTGTTTTTACACAACATTTATAGTTAATAATAGTCTACTGGTGTTATACCTTCAGTCGTTTTGAATTACCTTGACTTTTGAGATTTTTTTTAAAGGGTTCATAGGATGCCCATTTTCTACAAGTTGATATGATTCTTTAGGGTCTTAATGAAAAGTCTGTAACATAGTTTGGTTAAAATTTCTCAATGGAAGTGTAAAAAACTAATTTTTTACCCCGTCAAAAACAGCTCTTTTCAGATCAAGCCGTTTTTGTAGCATTTTCCTTTAAATGTTAATGAGCTCTGCTGCTGCCAACACACATTTCAGTTCAAACAACTTGTAATAGTGCATCCCATGACCCCTTTAAAGCATTTTCCTAGTATTATTTCTGAACACATAATATGTATAAGACAAGTTTGTGCAAGATGCAGATGTAGTTCATGTATCTTTTCTGCAAAGATATTTAACGAGTGATTTGTTTAACATTTACATCATGTGTGCTGCACTTGGAATAGAAATGTCTTTAATCAGAGGGTTAATAATGAAAAAGTTACTTGAATCATGCTGTAGTTACATTTTCAAGTTGACTAGTTAAACATCGAGAATCGGTCAAATGGAGAAAAAATGGAGATTGTATTTATTTGCCATATGGCTCAGCCTTAGCTTGCGTTAAATCGAGAATGGGCTGCAACAAGGTGATGCATCCTGCATGTTGATTAACACACATTAGCACTTTGATAGTTAGTTTATTCAATATTTCAATCAAATTGTGGTTAAC